AGCTGCTGGTAGGGCTGCAACTGGAGACGAGAAACGGCGGAGTGACGCGGAGGCACAAGGTCCTTCCACCGTGATTTCCGCCGCCAGCAGCCCGCCACTACCACCGCCAGCGCCAGCAACGGTAGGAGAAGAACGAGCAACAGCAGTGGCAGTTCCGGCAGGAGGAAGCCCAACAGCACAAACAGACTCGCAAACTTTGACAGAAGAAAGGACAAAAACGCCACCGTCACCAAACAAAAAGGAGCCTGAAGAGACGGAGCCTACTTCCGGAGATGGTGTGGCAGAGCAACAGGGTCAAGGCACTGTTTTACCGGATCTGAAGGGTGGACCTACCGGCAACCCGGCGGAAGTAACGGCATCATCCATCTCTACAAGTGGCAGTGGTGATGGCCAGAGTAAGGCGGATGAGAATGACAACAACAGCAAAGGGCTTAACCCCAGAGGGCCACACAACGACCCCGAAGCCAGTCATACCAACGTTGCGCCCACAGCCAGTGAGACAAAACCACGGACAGCGAAAGCAGCAGCTACCGCCAGAACAGATGGTACGGCAACGCCTGGCAGCAGTGACGGCAGCACCGCGGTGTCCCGCACCACCTCCACTCTTTTGCTTCTTGTTGTTGCGTGTGCGGCTGCGGCTGCGGTGGTGGCCGCGTGAGAGTGAGGGAGAGAGAGCCGTGCACCGCCCGCACACACACTCTTCCTTCTCTCTCTGTGTGTGTCCCCTTGCATGGACTCTCGCCCTCACCTCATCCCACAAAGCACACACATAATCTGCCCACTGTATATATGCATGCACACCCATGCAGGCACGTTGGTGCTCTCTTTTGCACGACACGCACTGCTGCCGTCCTGCCTGGCTGCATGGGCGGAGCACCGTAACTGTTTCTGTTTTTGTGTTTCCATTGCATTGAGTGGGCGACCTCTCTCTCTCCCTGTGTGTGTGTTTTGCTTTACGGGAGCAATGAGAGTGTGTGCGCTGGTCGTCCCACGCTTCGGCTTTTTGTTTTGTTTTTCATTGTGTTGTGGTTGAGAGCACCCATTCCGCGGGCTGCGTGTTTGTGTTTGTGTGTGATGATATGAGTAATCTCCTCGTGTGATATCTGTCTTTCTTTGTCGTTGCTTTCTTCTGACTCTCCTTTGCCGCACAGCTGCTCTGCAATTATAGGCGCTGACAAACACACAAGCACACGCACACACATGCCATGTCGGTCACGCTGTGGGGCGGCGTGAACGCTGAGAACGCACAAGATTCTGGCTGCGACGGCCCTTGCAAGGAGAAGTACGGGAGCCCGTCATATTCCTCCTCGACATGCT